CTGAGAATTCTCTCAAATTAATTATATTGTTATCTCGGGAAAACAAAGTTTCGTTATCTCGAGATCTCGAGAAAATTAACTCGTTATCACGGGAAAACTGAGGAAATATAATGTATGAATGCATGGCCCTTTAGGGCTTCCGTAGAAGTCTGCTTTGGATCAATATTTGGATTTTTAAACCTTTTAAAACCCAGCACTTTAAAATTTACTAAGCACCTACAAGTGGTTCATTTTCCATTGTGAATTCTTTCAAAAGAGAATGATAATGGTAATAATATATACTCTATTACTCCACCAAACATTTCACAAGAATTAAACCGAAATGTTCTACTTTGGTCCTATCAGTCACATAATTTAAATGATACTGCACAATTTGTTCCTTCACAATGCTTTGATCGTGCTACATCCCCCTATAACATGATTTAGTGTATTACTTGTGAAGTATAAAGGTTTCAGACCAGATTGCACCTAAAGATAAAGTCTTGCAGTTGTTTTACTGATGCTTTTGATCTATTGGTAGCTTTACTGCTTAATTTCACCTTTACACAGATGTCCACCTAAAAGTAATTAGTTATCTGGGCAAGGTCCTTTAGGTATCTTATTTTCTTTATTTAATTTAGCATGCTCCAAAATACATTATCAGCTTTTTAAAATGTTTTATGCCTCTCCTTATCTTAACCGTCTAAAGTGGTCAAAGATTACATGTCTGTAATCATCTTGTTGTCCATGTCTGTCTCTACCCTCTGGCAACAACAAAAGGTTTGGATACCACCAGTATACACTGGTAGTATATAAGTGTGTATATAAATTAGATCCCAATGTGATTTTGTCATTTTCTATGTGGAATATATGTTTTTTCAGAAGGTTTATTTCCACAATCTAAAGGCAGGCAATTCAGGTTATTCTAAAACTCAATGACCCACATGTATGCATGCATTACTTGTATGCCTGTCCAATGTGCTTGCTGTGGTTCTAATTCCTGCTGTTACCTGGTGTAACATCCTACTGGCCCATGACCATAAATAAAGACAAAGAAAGAATAAAGACACTGACAGTAAAAAAGCAATGTTGTTTAAGTTTTCCAAATATTGTCAGAAGAGTTAGAAAAATTAAAACTCTTATGTCTTATGTAATGGTGTAACAATGTTGACCCTGCAACAATAAAACTTAACTTAAATGGCAGTGTTTTTTCATTAAGAGACATGAGTGTGATAACATACTGTCCTGTATCTATCTATTTTGAACAGATGGATTTCTTGTCAGTGCACATTGTATATGACTGTGCCTCTGCATCAAACTTTGCACAGGAGCTGAGCAGTTTAAAGGTACAGTAAACATTAAAAAGTGTAAAAGTAAAAAGTCTTTTCACTGTTTCATATTTTGTATTGACAATGATAATGTTATGTTATAGATGTCCAGTGGGAATTTGCCTATCCTGATATACAAGATGACCATTGATGGTTGTACAGACAGTCAATTCCAGCTCCTTGGCAATTTCCTACAAGGTAGACGTCATTACAATTTACTTTTTCTTGCCTTATCTTTTTCTCATATCATACAATGTTTATAATGCAATAATCTTTCACTAACTTGGCGCTGCCTCAGGCGGCAGCTTGTAGCCACAGCTCCCGTCGTGTTTTTTCTATTTGTTTATTTGTTGTTTTTCATCTATCTATCTAATCATGGAGGTGTTATCACATGGCAGTGATTAGCATGAATTCTTCTTGCTATGGTCCATTAAAGTTTAACTAGGAAAATCACATGCATGGTGCAGCACAGCCATAAGACTTGCTTTTTTTTTTATTTGTTCAAGTTAATGTATAAAGCACAATTTAGGGTGTTAAGCAGGCAATCTACATTGTATAATGTTAACAGCCAATTCCAAGTAAAAAGACCATTTCAAAACTTGCGTGGTTAGATGAAGAATGTAGTGGTAGTTTAAAGCAAATGTCTAATGATAATGGTGAACATGGTGAACACTATACCTTCGTAGCATCAGCATGTTAGCACTGTACATGTTATCATGTTGACATTAGCATTTAGCTCAAATCAATTCTGTTCTTCAGTAGGCCTACAGCCTCAGAGCTGCCAGCAACTCACTTCTGTTATATATCAAAAAGGAATGTATCTTTTTACTTCTACATATTATATATATATATATATATATCTTGCACTTGTTACAGTCTTGAACAACAATGACCTGAATATTGTGGGATGTGACACGGTGGACATGTTGGGTAAGCTGGAAATGCAGGACATCCTAACCAGGTAACAGTTGGTCTTAGTGAATGTGAATATATTAATAAAGTTGGTTCCATGTATGTTAACAATGTTTTATTTATCTTTTCCAATAGTCAAGGTATCTTAGAGTACAAAGGAATTGCAGAATTTAGAAACAGTTATCAGAATGTGTGGAATAAATTCGGGACCCAGACCACAACAGAACGAGATCGTTTCCTCAATGAATCATTCCCCTCTGGCTTCCAATGGGCCACATCCAGTGAGTCCTTCAAGGTTGAGGGAGGCTGGTTAGAAGATGGGAAGGGACAGACCATCTGGGACCGTTTTGGTCATGACGATCTAGCCTTCGCGAATCAGACAGCTGATCTAGCCTGTGACAGTTACCACAAAGTGGATTATGATGTCTACCTCCTACGAGGTCTTCAGGTCAACACCTACCAGTTTTCCATCTCCTGGGCTCGTATTTTCCCCTCAGGCCACCGGGGCAGCCATTCAGAGAAAGGGGCTCTCTACTATGACAAGCTGATCAATGCTCTCATAGAGTCTGGCATACACCCTGTTGTCACTCTCTACCACTGGGATCTGCCCCAGGCACTGCAGGAGCATGGTGGATGGACCAATGCTTCCATTGTTGAAGCCTTCAAGGACTACTCAGACTTCTGCTTCTCCAGGTTTGGAGACAGAGTAAAGACCTGGAACACATTCAGTAGCCCCTGGGTGGTGAGCCATGCGGGGTATGGTACTGGTGAGCATGCCCCTGGAATAAAAGACTATGTGGTTGCCTCCTATCAGGTGAGAGCAAAAGTCTTAACCATAGTATGAAAATATACTGTTTCATTGTCAATTGTTTACATTCACTTAACCATATATTTTGGATTTGCAGGTCACTCACAATATGATCAAGTCCCATGCTGAAGCCTGGCATGTCTACAATGACAAGTACAGAAAGACACAAGGAGGGAAAGTAGGCATTGCATTGAACTCTGACTGGGTTGAGCCCATGACCCCCTCCAGACCTGAAGATATAGTAGCTGCAGATCGCTACCTGCAGTTCATGCTGGGCTGGTTTGCACATCCCATATTTGTGGATGGAGATTATCCTGCAACACTCAAGACTCAGATTGAACAGAAAAGAAATAAGTGTCCCCACTCTGAGCCTGCAAGACTTCCAGTTTTCACTCCTGAAGAAAGCCGAAGAATACATGGAACAGCAGACTTTTTGGGATTAAACCACTACACCTCTAGGTTAGTCAACAACAGTGAAGGTGGCTGCACCCCTGGTCCTCAGGGAGTAGGGGACTTCCAGGCACATGTGGACCCTTCATGGTCTTCGACAGCTTCTGACTGGATCTATTCTGCACCTTGGGGTCTCCGAAGGCTTCTAAACTTCATTTCCACTGAATACTTGAATGTTACCAAAGTGCCAATCCATATCACTGGGAATGGTATGCCTACTGAATACAGTGGGGACACTCTCAATGACAGCCACCGAATAGAGTACATGAAGAGTTACATCAATGAGGCCCTGAAAGGTATGGTGTTGAAAGTAGTGGCTTATTAAATACATTTTTAATTTCATGTGTATTCATACATCAGATACAGCTTTTGCCCCAAACAATGGAGATTACGCAACAAAATTAATCGTTTTGTGCTGCCATCCTTTGCACTTTTATTGTGGCTATTGTGTAAATACTTTAGCATGCATTTATTTTCTGTTAAATGGGGTATAGTAGCTGAATGTCTTTATTCTCTCAACAGCTATTCATTTTGATGGAGTAAATGTGCAGCGGTTTACTGTCCAGTCACTCATGGATGGCTTTGAAGGTCCACAAGGCTACAGTCAGCGTTTTGGGTTGCATCATGTCAACTTTGACCTGCCTGACAGACCCAGGACTCCAAAGCAGTCTGCCTACTTTTACTCTGAAGTTATTGATAAAAATGGGTTTGCCTCCAAAAAACAGTACTATTATGTACCAGAATTCAAAAGCACAGAGTCAAATAAAGTTTCATCAATGCCACCTTCAAAAGTCCCATCCCAAGCCAGCAGTGTTTGGAGAAAATTTTCCAGCCAAACGAACTTTCAGAGAAAACTCTACCACTATGGCACTTTCCCAAAGGGCTTCAGTTGGGGAGTATCATCTTCGGCTTACCAGATTGAAGGTGGCTGGAATGCTGATGGGAAGGGGCCTAGCATCTGGGATACATTCACCCACAAACCTGGCAGTATTCCTGCTAATGCCAATGGAGATGTGGCCTGTGACAGCTACAACAGACTTGAAGAAGACCTCTACATGCTTCGAGCCCTGAGAGTGAAAACATACAGATTCTCTTTGTCCTGGTCCAGGATCTTTCCTGATGGTCGACGTACCTCTCTGAACCGGAAAGGTGTTGAATACTACAATAGACTCATCGATGACCTCATGGCGAATAACATCACTCCCATGGTGACACTTTACCACTGGGACCTCCCTCAAGCTTTGCAAAACCTTGGAGGTTGGGACAATGTAGACATGATTAACATCTTTAATGACTTTTGTGACTTTTGCTTTGCCACCTTCGGAGACAGAGTGAAATTCTGGATGACTTTCAATCAGCCTCAGACAATTGCATGGTCAGCGATAGCGTGACTTGGACGATCGCACCAATGTTAGAATCCTGGAATGCACCATAATCAAAGTTGCAGCCACAACCTTTATAAAAGGCCATGCCAAGGCTTACCACATCCATAATATCGATAGTATCTGCTAAATTGCAGGGTGGTCTGTAATCGTGTCTCAATTCTGATTGGATTGAACGCTGAAAGAGTTCTAAAAAATTTTCGCCCGTGAAGTGGTGGCTGCTGACCGTGAAGCTGCAGTTCCAACTGGGTTGGTTTGCACATCCCATTTTTAAGAATGGTGACTATCCTGATGCAATGAAGTGGCAAGTTGGAAACAAAAGTGAACTCCAAGGTCTTCTAGAGACAAGACTACCTTCCTTTACTGAAGAAGAAAAGAGCTTCATTAAGGGAACAGCTGATGTCTTCTGCATAAATCATTATACTACAAAGATTGCACAGCATGCTACATTGAGGCTTAACCCTCAATCTTATGAATATGACTTGGACTTGTCAGTAGCAGAGGAAGGAGATTCACCAACTACTGCTATCAGTAATCAGAGAGCTGTAGCATGGGGTTTGAGAAGACTCCTCAATTGGATCAAAGAGGAGTATGGAGATCCAGAGATTTACATTACTGAGAATGGAGTAGCTACAGACATTAAGCACGTCCAACACTTGTGAAGAACATTCGTGCAGATCATAATATATAAATTATAGTACTGAAATAGGAAAACAAAAAAAAACTGATAAGGAACAAATAGACAATTAATATATAATAGATGTTTGGTGGAAATTATAGAAGTATTAAAAACACAATAAAATAAATAATAAACATAAAAAAAAACAAAAAAACAAAATCTCTCTTTGAAGAAATTCAACAATCAGCGCAAAATGAACCCACTTGTAGGCATAGCTTCAAGAGTAACACTATTTAAAGTGCTCGGGTATTTAAAAGTCGATACACAAGCATAAAAATAAATCAAGATCCAAGAGCAGACTGCTAACGGAAGCTAAAGGCCATGCGGTTCATAGCCACACAAAAAACAACACACCAACACAAAGCAAAAAAACAAAACAACAAAACAAAAAAAAACAAAACAAAAAAACAACAACAATTATAAATCATAAACATCACTACACCACGAACTATATTAGAATAAAACGGATTAAATTTTCAATCCAGACTCATGCGCAGAATAAAAACGAACTTTGTTTTCCCAGGCAACTAACAAATCAATAAAATATAACTTTGAGAGAAATCTCAGCATATCCCATAATGCATAGAGAATTAACACTTAATAATATAACCCTACATCAACTCAAAAAATATAACTACACTAACCTTCACTCAACACTGACCCACCCCGGCACTCGGCGCCACTCGCTGGATCTTATCACAGCCTCTCTCTCACGCATCTCAAATTAATTATTTCCGTTATCTCGGAAACGGAGGAGATAAACATGTATTGATCCGCCATGGCCTCTATGGCTTCCGTAGATCTGCTAGTTAAACCACAGAAACGTCTTTTTAGGATTATAGGTGTAAAATTGAAAGGTAAAAAATAAGTATTTTGCATTGCTCTTTTCTGGATTCAGTAACCTCTCATGTCCACAATAGTAC